ACAGGCTGGAAAACCATCCAATATTCATAGGCGCACAAGCTGCTGCATGCCTTGGGTGCCATCGCATGCGTCCGCTCTTCCCGCATGGAGTTACTGCGATGCCCCGTGTACTCGGCCAGTCCCTTCATTCTGCACAGAGTACTCATCTGTTTACTCATTTGGGAAAACACCAAAGAAACATAAGTTTGCAGTAGTACTGCTCTAAATCGTTTATTACCGAAGCATTTTTGCAGTTAGGAGTAAAAAGATTAAGGGGAGTTAAGGATGCCTTGGTCTTAGAAAATTTGTTTAAGCGCCTGTGAAACCTAGACAGAGGGAGTATGTCAAAAGCACACACCCACTCTCTTTCTACAAGTTAATGAAGGAACTAAAGCACTACCGGAAACGTTAAATTTGCCGAGTGTTTTTGTGTTTGCCGAGTGTTTTCTCTCGGGCACTCGGCAAACAAGTTCTTTGCCGAGTGCTGCCATAAAAACACTCAGCAAACAAAAAACACTCGGTAAAGAGGTGGTTTGCCGAGTGTCAAAAAAAACCACGCGGCAAAGATGGGGTTTACCGAGTGTTTTTTTTACACTTGGCAAAGGGAAAATATTTTTTCTGGGAAAGAAAGAAGAAAAAAATGAAAAAAAAAATCTTTGCCGAGTGCCCAGATCTAGGACACTCGGCAAAGTAAAAAAATATTTTTTTTCTGGGAAAGAAAGAGAAGAAAAAAATGAAAAAAAATCTTTGCCGAGTGCCCAGATCTAGGACACTCGGCAAAGTAAAAAAATATTTTTTTCTAGGAAAGAAAGAGAAGAAAAAAATGAAAAAAAAAATCTTTGTCAAGTGCCCAGATCTGGGACACTCGGCAAACGAAAAAAATCCTTTTTTAACCCTAGCGTCGTGGGCTCCCCTTCTCCCCGCGCCGTCCGCACGCCCCCTCCCCTTCTCGGCCCCCTCCCCGCGCACCTCCCTCGCGCCGCCCCCTCCTACCTCTCGGCCCCAGCGTGGCCCCGCCCTCCCCTCCTCCCTCTCCAGCGCCGGCGCGACCTGCCCTCTCCTCCTCCCTCGCCGGCGTGGCCGGCCCTCCCCTCCTCCCTCGCCGACGCGGTCCGCCCTCCCCTCCTCCACCGCCTCCACCAGATCCGGCCCCGGCGCGGGCGGATCCAGCGACGGTGGCACACGGGGAGGTTAGATCCGTCCCCGGCACAGCCGCCCCCTCCTCTCCCTCGGTGGATCCAGCGACGGTGGCGCACGGGGAGGCTGGATCCGGCCCCGGCGCGGCCGCCCCCTCCTCTCCCTCTCTTCCCACCGCCGGTGCCCCTCCCCCTCCTCTCTCTTCCCCAGATCCGGCCCCCACGCGGCCACCCCCTCCTCTCCCTCTCTTCCCACCGCCGGCGCCCATCCCCCTCCTCTCCCTCCTCTCTCTTCCCCGGCGGTGGATCCGGCGCGGCCGCCCCCTCCAATCCCTCTCTTCCCACCGCCGGCGCCCCTCCCCCTCCTCTCTCTTCCCCGGCGGCAGATCCGGCCCGGCCGCCCCCTCCTCTCCCTCTCTTCCCCGGCGTGAAGGGTGGTGGCGTAGTGGTGGTGGGCGGCGGTGGCGTGGTGGTGGTGGCCGATGGTGGCGGGCGGTGGTGGCTCGTGGCCGCCGGATCCGGGTGGCTTTTTTTTTGTGGTGGCTTTTTTTCGAAAAAAAAATGTTTGCCGAGTGTATTTTGGGCACTCGGCGAAGTCTTTGCCGAGTGTCCGACAAAAAACACTCGGCAAAGTCTGTTTGCCGATAAAAATTCACCGAGTGTCGTTTGCCGAGTGTGACACTCGGCAAACCCTTTGCCGAGTGTTTTGTAGGCTTTGCCGAGTGCCAGGGGCACTCGACAAATCTCCTGATTCTCGTAGTGAAGGAAGGGTAACATTGAAAAAAAAGCAGGTCAACAATACCTTGAGGTTGTCGAACAACAAATAATTTGAAAATATTTCTGGGTTCTAAAATATTACTGTTCTAAATTATAGTTCACTTCATATTAGTTTCGTCATAACTTTCTCTAACTTTGGCCAATTTCACAGAAAAATATGTTAAATATCCAAATAAAACCTATGCAATATCAAGATATATTTCATGAGGGATTTAATGAAATTAATTGTTGATGTTGCAGATATTGATTATATATATATATATATATATATATTTGGTAAAGGTTAAATAAGTCTTTTTTAGAATAAAAGTTAAATAAGTTTGACTTAAGGCAAATTTAAATAAGTTAATTTGAAGTGGATAGAGAAGGACGACCTAATAAATTTCACTTGTTTGATTAGTTGTCTCGTGAGCAACAAGAACGAAATAGCCATCGCCGAGGTCAGCGAATCCTCATTGGCTGAAAACAAGGAGGAACCTGTGTTCATCATGGAAGTGCACGTGCTGTGTCGTGTTAGCGTGCCAGCCTGCAGCAAACCTTTGCAGATGAGGAACGGGGCCATACAGGCCCCGGCTTGCCTGCTATGGTTAATGCAGTCAATGTATAAAAAAAGTAGGACTTCCATCTACTACTCTATCACTCATTATGCTATGCATCAAAATGTCAACGAATTTACAAAGATAAGCATACTTGAAAACCATTTGGAAGCATCTCTCTGATCTACCTGCAGGATCTAGCATTTTATTTCTAGAACGTCTGCACTTGCTCGTTTCGATTCAGAAGGGCCGGGATTACGCACTGTACTTGTTATTACAGTAAACTAAGTAGTCGTCGTCGCTCCCTTCCAATCTCTTTACATGAAGTAGTACTATGATCGCTCGATGGGCTGTTTCTTTTAATTTTTGGGCGGTGGTCGTTGGTGGGATGATGGATACAACTGCACCAATGCAAGTGAGGCATCGATCGCATTCTGAAGACGCATCGATTCTCCGCGGATTGCCCCTCAGAATCCCTATGGTTGTAGTATATTTTAGCCGGCCTTTTCAGGCATCATCATAAGCCATTGCGCCAGCATGATCTGTACTAAGCAATATATAGCGGCTCGATAATAATGTCCTAGTTTTCAACTACGTACGTACGTATGGCCGGCAACTTAACAGCAGAATCCCGGCCTTTCCTTACGTGGCACATTACATTAGCAAAGATTCTTCTTCAAACTTGAATATGCAGCAATACGTAGGCGATCAGTATTCGTCATCATTATTGTATATGTTGTCATAGTCATGATTGGATTTTCGAACTAGAAATTCACCAATCACGGATCGAAAACTACAAATGAATTGACAGCGAGATAAACAAATCGTGATCGACAACACAGGCCTAGTTATTTATGTCCAACGAACAAACTAAAGAAACGTACAGGAAAACGAGTGACCACTGGGCAATTGTACGTACTCATGTACAGCCTGGTCGAAAATGATGCCACGGACTGTCGAATACTCTCCATATGTCGACCTACATACCATGGTCCTTCTGTTCCAGTGATGGCTAATAACCACTATGTCGATCGATGCATGTACACACGCGCGCGCCTGGAGGATAGATACTGGATCACAGAACTGAACTGGTTTAATTTGCAGACCAAACAGAGCAGTGACATTTTAACCCCAACATGCAAAAAAATTCAGGCATTGAAAAAATGCATGCGGGTGCTGCAGGATTATTAATTGTGGTCATCATCGATGACGACCAAGACGTATACGTACGCTAGGGTGCACGCGTGAACTCGCTCGTCAGCGAGCACACACCGGCCGTCGGCCTGGAACGGGGTCAGTACGGCGCGCTTGGAGTTGGAGAAAACCCTTGTTGCACCACTGACCACGCACTACTGTTGTGTTCTCACCACTGACCACGCACCCCTGCTGCCGCCGCCTCCACCGCCGACACTGCGCTCGACAGCGACGCGCGCGTACGTGATACGTCGCCGGATGGAGGCCGTCAAACACCGCCCATTATCGCGCGTAAGCGTGGACGTGCGTCGTGCGTGATCACCGGCCGGGTGGGTGGTGGGTGGTTTTGCCTCTGTTTTTATTTTAACCGTGCTAGCTATCTGTAAGAAAGGGTCGTCGTTTCCGATCGATCGACTACCGTTTGGTTCTGAATCCAACTGCACGTTTGGGTGGTTTTGCCGCTTCTTTTGCATTAATTGCAGTGCCAAATGCCTAATGCATTTCTTTCAAAAAAAAAATCCATTGCACACCTACCTCTACTTCTGCTTGCAGCTGGCATGTCTAATAACAAGAACAACTCCAACTAAGCCCTCAAATTTTGCATCCATATTCCCTCGAGTGGACGCCCCTCGTCCATGTTTCAGTCTCTACTTAGCACACACTAACCGATCTCTTTAAGAAGCTAATTTTTCCTACTTCAACTATATTGTCATGGGACGTACTTATCGGTCGTATTTGTTAGCTTTGTGGGAAGAGATAAAGGAAGAGTAAGGGGAGGATGTGAAGCCCCCACATATAGAGGTTAAGAGACAGAAATGAGAGCCCCTCATCCATCGGGACTCAGATGAGGCTTGGGTTAGAGCTTTTATTTTCACGTCGTAAGTCCTTAAAATAAGGATAGGAGACGAGATGAGAGCTCGGCGGGAGACGCTCTAAGAATGCTAATGGATAAGGCATGCAGCATTCTATGCACAGTGTACAAGTATACATCCATGTCATACAACTGGGGTGAACAATTTAATTAAATACAAAATACAAAATTATATTGGCATACAGGCCACCTATATATTAGTTGTAACTCATCAATATACCTAATTTGGCCACGTAATTACAGAAAACACCCAGCTTTTTCGCCTAAGTCTCAGGTGTTTTTCCGCAATAACGTGGTACATACATGTACGCTTTTTTTTCTCACCAAGACGCTATATACCAACTCATATGAACGCCCCTAAAAAATTGTTCAGACGACTGCAAAAATCTTGTTTCACTTCACACCTACTTCTATGTAGTACTGTGCTATAATACACCAGGCTAGGTACCTGCTAGTTACCGTGATTCATACGTAGACGGCCGTCGTTGTCAAGGAGTATAGGGGCGGTCAGCCCTGCACGGTGATGAGCAAGCTGGAGTCCTCGTCGCCATGCGATGCCGCAACCTTGGCATGCGGCCCCGTGTCTTTCTCTTTCCCACCGTCGTCGTCGTCTCCGTTCACAACGGCGTGGCCGCCGGGCGCAACAACTCCGGCGAGCACCTGCGCGAGCTCGGCTTGTTGGGCCCAGTCCGTGCGGGAGATCACCACGAGCATGACGGCGACGCAGGCGGCCTGCGCGGCCAGGAGGCCGAGCCAGAGGCCCCTGAAGCCCTGCCCCGCCCAGAACGCCAGCGCCACGGCCACGGGCGTGCCGACGCCGTAGAACGCGCCCAGGTTGATGTGAGCGCCGTCCTTGGGGCGCGCACTCCCGCGGAGGACCCCGCAGCCGGTGGTCTGCGGGCAGTTGCCGAGCTCGCAGAGCCCGAGGATGGGCAGCACGGACGCCGTGAGCGCCAGGATGGACGCGTCCGGCGTGAACATGCGCGCCCACACGTCGCGCACGGACACGGCGAACAGGAAGGAGGCGAGGCCCTGGAGCGCGCTCAGCGCGAGCCCCGCACGGGCCGCAGCTCGCGCGGCGCCCGGGCGGTTCGCTCCGAGCTCGTTGCTGACCCGCGTCGACACGCCGAAGCTGAGCGACGACGGGAAGATGTAGAGCAGGGACGTGGTCTGGATGAGCACCCCCATGGACGCCACGGTCGCCTTGGGATCCGCCAGGAGGCCGCAGAGAAGGATCATGATCTCGTACCACCACCACTCGAGGCACACGCTGGCGCAGCTCTCGACGGCGAGCCGGGCCAGCCGCATCCACCCGGTAACGTCCTTGAACAGCTTCTCAGAAAGGGTGAAGCCGCCGGTGGCTCGGTGCACGCCGGAAAAGTAGATGTAAGCGAGGAGGAGGAGCACGAGGTTGAGGTTGGCCAAGGCAGAGGCGAGAGCGACGCCTTCGACACCGAGGCCGAGGACGGAGACGAGGAGGTAGTTGATGGGGAGGTGCATGGTGACGGCGAGCACGGCGCAGGCAGTGAGCGGGAAGTTGACGGACTGGGTGCGGAGGTAGATGCGGAGAGGGTGGAGGAACGACTGGAAGAGAAGGTCAGGGAGGCAGAGGAGAATGTAGCGCTGCGCTGCGGCCGATATGGCGGCGTCCTGGCCGCACAGCAGGAGCAGCGGCTCCATGTGCGCCCAGAGGAAGGCGACGGGCACGGAGAGCGCGAGGAGGAGGAGCACCATCCGCTGCATGGTGGCGCCGACGAGGGGGAGGTTCTTGGCGCCCACGGCCTGGCCACACACCGGCTCCATGCCCATGGCGAGGCCGGACAGGACGGAGTAGCCCGTGATGTTGGCGAAGCTGATGGCGAGGGACCCGCCGGCGAGGGCGAGCTCGCCGAGACGGCCAAGGAAGAGCATCGATATCATCGGCCGCACGTAGAGTATGAGACCCGTCATGATCATCGGCAATGACAGCCTCAAAATCGATGCGGCCTCGCTCGCCGCGCCCCTGGTCAACGACGGCCTGTCGGCCAAGAGCGGCGGCGGCGGCGGGTCCTTGCACGTTGTCATGGTCGTCGTCGATTCATTCAAAACAGCGACCGCGACATCCGGCGGAGAGACCACGACCGCGCGGAGACGGTGGCCATCCCCGACGCTGCCGCCGTCCTTGGCATTGCAGAGGCACGGCGGCAACAGCTTGCCAACGAGCCCCTCACACATGGCGGCGCAACGCAAGCTAGCTTCTGCCGACTGCCGCTGGAGGAGGCGGTTTTTGCACGTGTGGGCTCGGAGCTTGAGCTTTTGGAGGGAAACCAGGGGGAGTTCAAACCCTAGCAAGCGGCTAAATTTATAGGCGGAAATGGATATGATCAGCTCGATGGAAATGAGAGAAGGGGTTAACGAAAGATCCGGGGCTGGGATTTGTTTAGACGGGATCTCTCGTCGTGTAGCTCCGAAGTGGCTGCCTCCCTGGCTCTCTCTCAGCCGGTCTTGGCCGGCCGCGGATCACCACGTACGACGCGCGCGCACGGGGCGTTGTTGGATCGCGCGGCGCGTAGCGCTGGACGAGGCTTCGGGAACGTACGCGCGGCGGCTCAGTTGGATCGCCCCGGGTGTCTGGATGCAAGGGAACAAATTAAAACCAGCGAGAGGAGAGCGAGGTCCAAGGCCTTGAAGGCTGAAGGCGATGAGGCAGAAGGAGCAGGGTGGAGTATTTATACACAGGATTTGAGGCCATGCAACGACTACTAGTACCATCTCATATATATATATATATATATATATATATATATATATATATACACATATATCTATCTACCTATCTATCTATCTATGTAATATATACATATATATATATATATATATATATATATATATATATATATATATATATCTTGTTGCCTAATTATTGTGTAACTCATTGTGGATTAAATTATTGGAGTCTACTTTATATGTTCATTTGGATAAATATTTCTATAACAAAAAAAAAGTTTTAGAGCTCGCTGTCGGGTTTTACAAAGGCAGGAGAAGGGGTTAATATTATAATAGAGTCAATGCATGTTCTCTTGATTTTTTCTGTCCTTTCGCTTTATTGGATTGAACATAAATATATATATGGATTGAGAAGTCCAACTTTTGATCCCTCAAAAAAAAAGTTCAACTTTTGTTTCAGGCTTTGATGTCGTACTATTTTGTTGTTTGACCTTATAATGGTAGAGAAACGACTTTTGATCCACTTCGAAATTTAGCTTTAGTCCTGGTATTTTTTGCGCCCGGGACTAGAGAAACCTTTAGTCCCGGTTGGTGTTTCTAACCGGGACTAAAGGTCCTCGCCTCAACTACTGCATCAAGGCCGCGATGGCGAGGATTTTAGTCCCGGTTGGAGACACCAACCGGGACTAAAGGTGGACCTTTACTCCCGGTTGGAGCCACCAACCGGGACTAAAAGTCCTCTAAGTTTTAGTGCATTTATTGCCGTGCTTTATGAGCTGATGACCAGCACTGAACTTTTAGTCCCGGTGCTTTACTTGTACCTGCTTGCATTTACGAGCTGATGACCAGCACTGAACTCCCTCCAACTACAAATAATGAAGGCATGTTTGGATCATCTTGGATTTATTAGAATTCAGGATTATGAATGGGATTATAATAATTTGGATATTAAGCTATAAAAAATAGGTTGTTTGTATCCCTTGATTATAGGTGCTGAATATAGGATTTGGTTTTGTGAGCACCTATAGTATCCTATTTGTATGTTTGAGATGGATTATATATAGTTGTAGGATTATAATAATCTGCTGGTTGGATTGTTATACTCCTTAATCCTCCTCCATAATCTAGGGTGTTTGGATCACCTAGAGATTATTCTATCAGACTACTACAATCCAAAGGTGATCTAAACAAGCCCTGATTAAGTGATGTTTAAGTTCCATAGAGTGAACTATCTCAAACTAAAATTACAAGTTATGTATATATTTATATTGAGCTTGGATGTTTGAGCATGTACAACTAAAGCTGCAGCTAAAAGTACTTCATAGCATTATGCTATTTGTTACGTCTTACAAATGTATTATAATAATTAGTAGTCTCCAAAAGATCACTTATTCATGGCTAGAGAGAGTACAGAATTAGTGTTTTGAGTTTATTTCTATATATTTTCCCTCTACCTCATCACATTTTGATATGCAATAATATTAAAACTACACATCCATTTCTCTGTCAAGGCATGTTAGAAAATAAATAAAATTTATTTCATGTTTTTCTCAAAGAATTAAATACTTTCCCTTTTAGTGAGTGGATCTTTGCCGGTTTCAGTGGGGGTTTCATAACCCAGTTTCTAACACATCCATATTTTAAAAACAGTGCAGAAGAGTTTCATCCCCATAAAATTCTCTCTACTCCCATAAAACTTTCATCATCTCTCTCTTCATCAATGCAGTGCCATGTCAGCGTATTTAATGCCCATGAAACTCTATGAAATTTCCATTGAGATTGGCCTAAGAGACAAGATGTTAGGCTAGTCTCGATGGGTTGTATCACACTCATTAATTATGTGCCACTTCAGATTTGTTATTGATATGTGATAGAGCATTTACTAGGAGAAATAACAAAGCGATCCAATTTTTGAACGATATCTTATGTTGTTTCACAAAAATCTGATGTTCACGGCCACGCTCATAGACACAACATCATAACAATTAATCATTTTTAATATTGGAGTATGATACTACGCATTGTACAGAGTATTTCTTCCTAACAGTATTATACTTTTCATCCTAAGTGTAGCATCCTTGGATATTGGAGGAGTACAATACTGTGCATTAGGAATAGTCTTATTATAAAACAAAGGAAATGGTAGAAAGAAATAGCATAAATGATATTGTTGGTTTGTTGAAATTATTGCTCTTAATTGTTACTTAAAATTAATAATAAAAAAGTAAAATATAGTACGGCATAGGTTAATTGAGGAGACATCACGGGATTCAAATACAAGGTATGTACTTCAAATAATAAGGTTGAAGAATATAAATGATCCTATTGAGCAAGGGAATTCTAGGATGAATTAGTTAATAAGATATTTATGAACTACTTATATCCTATAGCACTATCATGTTATTAATGATGTAATTTAACATTAAGTAACTTCACCAATACCTGTGCAAATGTTGTAGATCGTTTACCTTTCATGACTTAACATACAAATTTTAATAATATAATATATAACTTGAGATGTCTGCAATCACATTATTTCTTTTGGTGGACTTTCATTAACTTAACTTGCTTCAAGCATAGTTATATAATATTTTGATATTAACAATCTTTAATTAACCTCTGAGCTGTCCGCAACCATCCTATCCAATATGATGTATGAATAAAGAAATATACAAGTACTTTTAAATAAGGAACATTAAGCTAAGTAATGAAAATCTTCTAATGAGGAAATTTAGGTATGACAATGGATGTGTTATTTCATTAGAGAATAATTAAACTGCCTCAAAATGTCAACTGTTTCTTTGACCACAAGGGAAACAAAGTCAGCTAAACTCATTTTGTAATAGTCTTTACTAGAGTACGTAATCATGTGGGTCATGTATACCTTAGAACGCATGCGAACCAATTGTAAGGAATAGTGGGTACTCCCTCCAGACACAAATAAGTGATGTTTTCAGGTTGTATGAGGTCAACTAGTTGAGGACGTGCTACTTTTACATGTTCAGTATGGCTATTTAGAGCAACTCCAAGAGACTCACTATATTTTTCCTAAATGTTAGAAATAGAGATTTAGGTGAAAAACACTCTCCAGCAACTTTTCTAAATGGTTATCCAAATATAGCTATCTTCTATTCTGGATTTTTCGCTAACCAAAAATAGAAGACGAGAATGGCTTTCTAGAGTGCGCATGAGACATAGAAAAGTTGGAGAGTCAAAAGATATAGAACGCGATTTTTATGCAAATGATAATTTAGAGAGTAAGTTTAGAAAGACTCTGGGAGATGCTCTTAGAAACGGTATAAGAGTACATTTTGACTTGAAAAATAGTTTGATAAAAAAGTATGCATTTACTATACTTTTATATAGTTGTATTGTGACAACAAAATAATAGTCAAAGCTTGAAATAGCTGACTTTACAACTTTTAAAACATCATTTATTTTGTGATAGCGTGAAGGCAGTGGATTTTTTTTCATATCTCTGTAGCCATCAAATTACACACACAAGAAAAAGAAGAATACTATGCAAGATAGATGTAACACCATCGGTGTTACACTGTGCAATCTTTTGCTAAAACACCGCATGAGCATCATGGTTATGTGTCGATGTATGTAATATAGTGTGTGAATCAATTTACGTAGCTTAAAATGACCAACGGAAATGCTTAAGGAAATATCGTTCGTGACGTATAAAATTATCAAGTACGGATGTTCACGAATTTTTATTGAACGAAAACACTATAGAACGTATATATGAAACTTTAGTAAAGTTGGAAGTATGAACTTTGTAGATGGCAATGAAATACCTATGGTCGAGAAAGGAATTCACTAGCTAGCATACCTAATAGTTTGGAAATCGAAGTTGACGCGAACCCAATCAAGACTTAGTCAAATTTCTTAAGTCGGAAAATGGTTTGATAAGGCTAAGTTTGGCAATTTTTGTAGGGTAATCAGGTTAAGGAGTGATGGGGTATTAGGGCTTGTTTTAGTAGCTTAATATGCCCTCTTAGGAATTGCAAAGGCGGTTTGGCGATTAGATCAACGCTTTGGGGTTTTTCGAACACTTTAAAAATCGTGCGCATAACGTTCACGATCGGTTTTATCGCATGGACGTGGTCATCGCGCTCCTGTGCCGACGGCGGCGCGCCGGCCGCGCGAGCGAGCGTGCATGCTTGGCCGTGCTCGACTAGCTGTGGTGGTCGGCTGCCCTTGCTGGCAGCGGGCCCTCCTCTCCGCAGCGATGCACGCTGTCGCTGGCGCCACTGTTGGTGCCCTGGGGCCGCCTGCGTCGCGTTGTGCTCGGCTCTGCTCCGCCAGGAGCAGTCATCGTCAGCCCAGGTGCAGTGGCATCGCATGGCCACAGCCGTCGTCGCCAGCACATGCACGTCTCCTTTGCGTCGCGTCACCATTGCCGTCGCGAGCCCATTGCTCTAGCCGATCCGCTGCCGCTTGGGTGCCTGCCTCACGCTGTCACCGCCGCGCCATAGCACGCCGCCGTCCCATTACCGTGC